TTAGCACACACAAGTTGTATGCTAAACTATTTCTTACGGTTTTATTGTACGCTGGATATCCTTTATCTCTTTGTGCTACAAAGAGATGAAGGATAAAGTCTTAATTAAAATTAATAAGATCGAAATTTACAGAACTCAAAACAATACCATACGACCATAAGGTTGATTATCAAATATGACAAAACACAACGGAGTAAGTCTATGCTTTCTTAAAAAAAGAAGATATATGTCATATGGTTTAAAGCTGAATTGGAAGTTGGAGTGTACAAATAAATAAACAACCTCTAAACGCATTCACCGACGTTCCGTCTAGCGTAAAAACGATATAAATACGAAATACTAAATATAAATACAAGCCAGCAATATCGTACACGTACAGTTGTACACGGAATATTAGTTAAATAAATGGAACTGTATGCTTATTATATGTTTCGTTCGTAAATATGAATCGTTTTTCGTTACTCATTAAATAACTTAGAATAAGCCTGATATATAATATATTCAAAGTTTAAGGTATACATATATGTTTTGATTGTTGATTTAATGAAATTAATATTATTAGATAATAATTACTTCTTCGTAAAGATGCATTTCAATTCAGAAAGTATTAATATTATTTATTTATATGTTTATGGAACGCTTAAAAAAATATCCCACAAAATAACATGCTATGAATTAGGTCATTTTAATAAATTGTCATAGTAACGTTTGTACGAATGGAACTTGATTGAAGAGAATTGTATTGTTATGAATCAACTGTAGGTACATGCGTCCATTAAATCCAATTATTCATACTTTGAAACATTAATCTCGATTGTGACTCGGTTTGTTTTATATGAAATATAAAGTAATGAAATTTGTTTCATATCAATAGTAATATAATATTGAAAATAATAATAAGCACTACATAATGGCGGTGGCAAAAGACGGAGAGATTGTCGAAATATCTTTGACCAACACAAATAGCGTATATAAAAGAAGCGCTTTCATCGCGCCAACTCGAATATTTACTGTGGAACCACCTTTCTTTGATATATAGTGTATACATTTTTAAAGTGTTTTGTTTAAGAACCATTAAAAAACCCGTATTCAATACAAACAAATTAAGACTTATATATAGCTAACTGATTCATAACAGCTAGTTTTCGATTAACTTGTTATATTTAAGATAATAGAAGCTCTCTTAAGGAATTACACAAAAGTATCTACATGTTTGGAAAACAAAAGAGTCCTTTTTAGAAGTTACGACCCAAAAGTTAAAAGGATAAACCCCTTTAACACGGTTTGCCAGTTTTTGGACTATTCGTTTCCTTGTTCGGATGTGTATAAAATAAATGGCTATCTTAGAAAAGCCTTCTATAAACTACAATGGGATACGCCTCCGTAAATAAGTATAAAATTCGTTCAAGATATAATTAATTTCTTTATACATTATATATTTTTTAGTAAATAACTATTGTATATGATGCATGCTTTTAAAATCAAATAAAATACATACATTACAAACTAGCATAACGAAAATACATCCATTTTCTTAATTGAGAAAACGCCCTGTTTTCTTTATAATTATTATTATCATTTGTATCTTTAAATATCCGTCTATCTAAAAAAACCACTTGTAGGTACATCTGCACATAGTACGCACAGAATTTAAATAATCCTTGTTTCCTTTTACGTTTTAATTAATTAAGAGTAATTACTGTGATTGTTCACATTTTCCTGTTGTAATTAATATTTATATCGGATAAATTGTAACTACACATGGCAGAGGCAGTTAGGTAACATCCTACAGGCTCCCTCGCAGCTACTTCACGAAGGGTCGTAACCTTTACCACATCTCCCTATAATAAATTTATTTAAACACCAATCAATAAATTGTAAAAATACTCACAGTGACGAAATACCTCTATGTAGCGGTGTTGTGTCTAATCAAGATTTATTATTTGTTATCCCTCTTCTTAATTGTCCGTAACAGTCACGCTTTATACAAAATAAACAACAAGCAACTCGGTTAATATTAAATTTTAATGGCACTCATTCGTCGAGATATATCGCACCGTTAACTGGTTACTTAATCATCCAATGCAAAACCTTAATAACGCGTCAAGGTACAGATATACCGCCGAGGCTTTCAGGCAACTGAGAGCTGAAACCTACGGGAAATTATCAAGCCTCGACCGGGACTAGTTCGAAGGCGTTGAGAGCTATGATTCGACTATATTCCTCTCGTTCCGTACGATGTGTAAACGAATGAGTCAGAAGAGGTCAACAAGATGAGGTCAGCACTTGCCTCATCAACTCGATACGAGACGAATTTTCACGAGCACCAACGATGACACGTTAACATCGGAAAAAGCTCAACGGTTAATGATAATTTTATACTTAGATTCCTATGTATAAGATTTTATATATTTTGACAACAATTACAAATTTTGTAATGGCAATTCACTTAATGAATTTTATTTATTTTTAAATAACTTTAAATATATTTTGTTTTTTTTAGGAATCGTAATTGTCATCTGAGTATTTGCTATATTTATAATCAAACTAACAAAAACTCCTTACGACAAACAGTAAAACAATTTCAGTTTATTTTTTCCGCGGCAATGGTCTGAAGTCTGAACAAAAGCATGTTGTTTACGGAACAAATTTAAGAGTTTAAATAAATGAAAAAGATCACACTAACAAACTACTGGGCCCTATTTTAATTAATTAACTTTTAATATTCCTAGCAGGTACTTAGGTACTACGTGGAATCTTAAGCATTCTAAAAACCAAACGAAGAATACGGAAGCTTTTTGACCTAAAATACGGAAGCTTTTTTGAATTTATATATATGTAATCATTTTGACCTAAATTTATGAATGAAGAACGTGAATACAATCTTTGTTGGATCTGACTCTACCACTAAAGATATTCTATAGAATACATATTTTTAATTTATTTTTTCTGGAAAAAATTAAACATCCTTAACTAAAAACAGCAAGAAAATAAAAAACATAGAAATTATAAATCTAGACTATTTTTTAAATGGGAACTGTTTTTTTATAAAATAAATAAATATCATACCGTATTCACTCTAGTAGACAATTTTATAACTTTTAAATGTTTATTCATCGGCATTAAATAATTATGAAAGCAAGAGAAAATTAATTATTTAAATTGATTCCTTTTTTTCAACAAAAATTTAGATAACTTTTAGAAGATAACTTTTACGAATTTAGTGTAAAAATTTAGACAAAAGAGTTGTTTAGCAATGAAATAAAACTTTTTTAGTTTCCACATGGTAAATGACTAACGAATCTTTTTTTAGTCCAATGTTGTTTTAATAATTTGCATTCAAAATGAATTTTTGATAATTTCATCGGATTGTTTTTGTCAAGTTAAACCGAGTTTTTTAATCGAACCGTCGAGATTTTTTATTAATTTATACACTAGAAATTAACCAAATTTTTGCTATAGGAGAAAAGTTAGAAATATACTAAATACGATCGTTTCGGAAGAACCCTTCAAAATGATGATTCATTCATTAGTTTTCAGTTGTCACTGAAGATAAGAGATTATCTTCGTGTATGTATGAATCAAGACTTTTTTTAAATGAACTGTGTTATAAGAATCTATTTAAAGTTGGTATACAGTAAAGACAGACAGTCCCATCAAAAAAGAGTTAATATAGATAAAATTTCATAATGCTTATCCTATAATCCTAATATTTCAGTATATCATGACAAAAAGCATGTCTCAACAAAAGATGTATGATAAATAGTTTTTCTTTGAATTTAAATTTTCTTATCAAATAAAAAAAGCTCTGCAACTGAAAACATACAAAAATTTTAAACTATTTTTAATCTGTAGGAAAATATACACTACCTGTCAGTCACTCACATACAACAACGCATTGAAGCATATACAGGGAAATTTTATTTCCTTGCCATATTTTATTTACTTTTTCATACAACATTCCACTTTCAATTCATACATAAATCATAATAAATCTAATAAACATTTAAATTTTCTTCCTACGGACATATGTAGATTAGAGTTTCTAATCACATAAAAAATATATAAGGAAGATAATAAGTTTTAAAAACAGAAAAATGATCAAAACTCAAATTCTAAATTTGAATATATAATTTGTTTGATAGCAATAAGAGAAAAAAAACTATCATTAAAAAGAGGTTTAAAGTATAGAACCTCCTTATAATGAAATTCATTGTTGTATGTGATAATTAACTAAAATTAGTACATACTTCTCATTTCAAACATCAAGGTTGAATCATTCCAAAGTAAATATAAAATTTCAAAAAAATCTTGCAATACAATTAAAACCCTGTATATTATTTTGTAGTAATTTATTAAACTTGTATACTTATAACAATTATCAAGTATAAAAATTATTGATACCAAAACTATCGATAACATAGCTCTTGGACGGATCAGTTACAAATCACAATAAAATTAAAACTTATATCTATTATAACTATAAAATGTATTTAAGTATTTTGTCTCAAATCAAAATTTAAGATTTATGTAAATTTTTGTTATTTATCATTAATTCTTAACTAGGATAAGATAGGAAATTCTATGAATATTACTGTAGTTTAAGCAATGACAGTGTGATATACAGGTACTTAATAAAAAATGGAAATAGTTTGAACAGCTTATTGTATCAGCATATTAAATAAAATATTGTATATAATATTAATGTCAAGTAAACTAAGGTCTAGTCATTGATTATTTTCGTAATATAAAAAAAAAATGTTATAATTACCATTAAGGTATCTTAACTGGAATGAATGAAATAATGATCTTTTAATACAAATAAATGTAGTTAAAACTATCCATATGTTTAAGTGTTGTTTAAATAAAGATGTTCAACAAATTTGTTTCCATCACAATAATTCTTGATAGCTGCATTAAGTCTGAGTTTTCAATAAAAAAAAAAAAATCATTAATGTCACATTTTCAAGTCTTAAATTTCTTGTATGATTCTTGAGGTATCAAAATATATAATTACCAAACAGTACTATAACAATGGTGCTTAAAACTAAAGCAACAGAGACATGTACGGAAGACGAGTCGTTACATTCATCGGTTGAACAATAACACTCCTCCCAATATACTCCGTTGTCGTAAACACCCCAGTTACAAACCCCCGTTACCCCTGTCTCAGCAACGGATGCACAACGTCTAACAACTTGCCGCCATCTACCGTCCCCTGGAATGAAACAAGATAAAATTATATAATTTTTATATCCAAGTTTGACTGCTAAAAAGTCTTAACAGCATAATTTATTGTATAATAGTATAGATGAGATAAATAGTGCTTCAAGTCCAAGGATATTTCCTTAAGATGAGCTAACATTATGAAACTAAATACACACATCCTGTAGGTTTTTATACTAAAATTAAAAACTTCAAGATTTAACACAACACAAAATTGTTGCAACGGTAATGGGTTAAATGTATCTATTTTGCAAGATAAGATGGACTTCCACTTTTTTATTAGAACATTGAAGTTTAAGATCATTCATTTAAGTATAATCAGTTAAGAGAGATGACAATACAGAACATGAATTATATACAACAATAAATATTCATATGAAATCAATTTAATGACTTACATATAAATCCTTTTGGTCCCTGTTGTGTTAATTTCATACAGAAGTAACCAGGCACATGAGATTCATCACTGTTACACTCTACTGCTATATGGCTTTCCGTATTAAACTTCTTATAGGCACCACATGTATCTTCTAACAAATTTTGCGACGAGGAACATTGATAGCATCTTACACAGTACACTGAAATAAAAAAAGATAAATATTTATTAATTTTCACTTCTTTAATTAAACTTAACTGTTTTATGAGTTTATTTTAATATTTACCGGAAGGCATCACGCAAATTAATAATAAATATATTAATTTCAAAAACATTTTTGTTTTATTAATTTAATTTTTTGAATATGTAAAGTGTTATATTAACTAGTAACATATAACAATTTTAATCAACAGTTCATTAAGTTAGAAAGAACAACAAAATGTATATCGTATAAATCTTAGAATGTATTCTGTATACAATTTAAAGTACACACCCAAAACTTAGTGTTTGGTGTTATTCAACTTTTGTCAGTTGGCAGTTGTAGAAGATGTCGTGAAACTTTTAGGTAGTAAACATTTGAAATCCGTCATTGGTGAAAAGAAAAAAGTTATTAAATAAGTAGATTAAAATGTTAAAGGAAAAATCATAATTTTTAAAGCACATGTAAATGGTCATTTTATAAAATTCACTCCATTTAGAAAATTCTTGTTTTCATTTCTCTTCTTTATTATTTTTATATTTTATGAAAAAAAAACTTTTAATAAATAGTTATTAAATTATAAAATATATTTATAAATTACAAAAACCTTATTTTAACAGTATAGTTACTGTATCAGCAAATTAAATATGTAAGCTCTACGCTGACAAAGTACCAAACTATGTATTGTCTATGATATTTCAATCTAAAAAGTTAAAACTTTAAAGCAGTTGAATTGAATCAGTAAACAAAACTTTTTAAAATCATATCATTCTTTTATCATTATATTTTGCATAAGATTGATATTAGTAATATATATACGACATGATTTTATCAATAAAAAGTTTGCTGTGTTTTCTTGTTATAATAAGTTATGCTACGAACGGTATAATTTGTTTTAAAAATATTTTTGCTTGAGGTCACGCCCAAAACAGATAATTACGAAATTATTTAATTTCAGTTTTTAGTATTAAATGTTGGAACTGCAGATCAAATGCTGACCCTAAATGTGCCGATCCATTCGACAATAGCACTGTACCTATAACTGATTGTAATCAAGAAAGGGGATTATCACATTTACCTAATGTAAGACCTACCATGTGCAGGAAAATAAGACAAAAAGGTATAAATATACATCTATTTTTTTAACATTTAGTTCACAATGGTTTCTAAATTTAAAGACGGTTTAGTGACGCAAAGTTTTTAATTCTATTTAAATGTTATTTATAAAATTATTGTACATTTCAATACAATATTTTTGATATCATGTGAAATTTAACTTATTTTTTATGAATAAATACGATAAAAACCGGACCTATCAGATAAGATCTTTACTACTGAAATCATTTTGAATATCTGACAACTTTGTATAACAAACCTCTTTGGATAGTTTCTAAATTAAGTTATTTTTTAATATGAGCAAAGCTTCAAGTAAATTAAAGGAGTATATTGGTTTTGTATGAAAAATTAATTTTGATTTACTGTAATATTTCTAACATTCTGTTTAATTAGAAACTTTTATAATTTTTTAATGGGCAATTTGACAGAATTAAGGAAAAAAATCTAAAGATTAGATACAAGAGTAAGGATGTTTATTTGTATTCCTTTCAGATTCAATGAAATATAATAAAGATAGGCATTTCAACAATTTACATTTCTCTAATAATTTTGATTTTTATGTCTGATCTTTATGTTTAGCTTTATTACTAAATATGTTATGTATTTTCAGTAAACGGAGAATGGCGGTACTTTAGAGACTGTGCATATTTAGGTGAGGTTGGTATCCAGGGTGATGAGAGATTTTGTTTAATGAGAACAGGCACATATAACATCTTCATAGAGTACTGTACCTGTAATAGCAAAGACGGTTGTAATTCCTCTTCATTGTTAAACCCAGTACCAATGTTGATTGTAATCTCGTTTGTAAGTTTTATAGGTAAATATTTACAAGTATGAAGCACTAATATGGAAAAAATTTCAATATGTTTTCATTAAGTGAAATAGTTTTGTTTGAATCTTTAGATCTGAAAAGTATGTTTTATGTAAAACTCTCATAGAACAACTTCTTGTTTAATGAAAGTTAGCATTATTATTTCTAAATATATTTTATTATTTGTATTACATAAGTAAACATTCATTTAGAAAATAGAATAATAATATTATGAGTTAATGTTAAATTGATTTTGTTTTGTGTATTATATGAAATTTGAGTTGTAAAAAAATATAATATTACCTTTTTTTACCTTACTATTATGTGTTCTATAGTTCTGTACACAAATTTATTATGATTTATTTTATACATTACTTATATAGACAAGACTGAATACAATCCGTCCACATATAATTAAGCATTTGTATTCTTATAAATAAGACAAATAAATTGTTTTGAATATAAATTGTTTTTTTTTTATATACAGGGTGTTGCGCGGCCATTGTTCGCAGGCGCCGGCCGCCGGCGTTATTATTACTATTTTGTTAGTTTTCGAATAGTGATTTGCAAGTTTAAAAATTTGGTATATCGATAAATATTCTATCGATATTTTCAATATTGCTATAAAGTGGGTACAAACATTTGGTTACTCTACATATAATAATCATTTAATATTTAATTTTATTATTTTTATTGAAGAGTTTGTAAATGTAAGTTGTTTGATTGTGTTCCATTTTCGATACTGATAACGCAGTTAAGAGGGTTGACACAGTTTTTAGTACACCCTGTATGAAAGGTTTCTTCTGTCTTTTCTTTATGTCATATTAATATTAGAAATTTAATTTATATGTATATTGTATATGAAATACTAATTTTTGTCTAGAACATTGTCTGCAAGACTGTTCAATTGCTCAGAGCTCAGAAATGTATAATAAATAATAACCAATCATCAGTGACATCTATATAGTATGTCTCATGATTTCATTTATAATTGAATTTTTTAGGTAAATTAATACCAAATAAAGTTTCATCAAAATTCATGTAGTACATTTTGTGTGAAAGAACAACAAAGATTAACATTTACTTACATAAGATGTAAAAGCATAGGTAAAAATATTTATTTTCTTTTAGATTCTTAAGAGATTTTTTATCTTTACTTATTATCTTAATTTAATTATCATTTTATATTACAAAAAAAATTAAATAGATAAATCTATTAGCATATCATATTATAATTCAATCACAATGCTTTAGTTCACCAGCAACTTTCAGCAAAATACTTCAGCTCATCGGTTTAGGTTTATTGACTTGACATGTATGAGTGCATATAAAATACACATTGTCCCTAAGATTACACTAGTAAAGGGATTAGGTCGAAAAATATTTAATTCTGTTCCTCACTGTACTAATGAGACATTACTTGACAAGGTAATGTTCGTCTTTAGGTCAAAAAGGTTCTGTTAGTCAAAAAAGCTGAAAGGGCATTGAACCAGAAATAAGATCAGTGCTGTGGATAAAGATAGCTAAAGTTAGTTTAATAGAAAGTGCTGCCTGACTTTCCTTTGTTCACTTTAACACTTTACAATCTGTTACTATATTATATTCTCCTTAATTTTAGAGAAATGGGAAAATTGATATGGTTTTCTCATTTTCAATAAAGTTTTAGTTACAAGCTACATTCGACTTTCTTCCACTAGTCATTGAAGGATAATTGGTGGGCTCATGTTTAAAATATCACCTGTAATTTCATCTGCTTAGCAACGAAGGTCGCTATGTTGTCATCTAATTCGTAACAGCCTGTTATTGAACAGCTTCCACTTCATATCTTCACCTAGAGTGAAACTACATTGTATAATTCCACAATCCTTCGGGTAGTCTTTAAGATGCTTGTCATCAGCCTATGAACGCCCACTGCTGAGCATAGCCTCTTCTCACATGGAGAAGGTTTGAGCATTAATCACCACGCTTGCTCAAGACGGGTTGGTGATTTCAAACTTATAATTGTGAAACTATAAGTCCAGGTTTCCTCACGATGTTTTCCTTCACCGTATGTCAGTGGTGTCTAAATAATCTCAGAAAGTACATATGATTCCGAAAAATCACATTGGTACTTGCCAGATTTGAACCCGCGCCCTCGGCAACGAGAGGCGGACCCTTTAACCACTAGGCCACCACTGACTGCATTAAGATGCTTATTCTACAGAAAAGTTAAGAAAGAAAGAAGTTAGCATAAGACGGTATTAAAATCTGTTGTCCTGGTTTTAGCTCATCGGTGAGTGAGGTATTCTGACACTACTCCTTCATCGGGAAGCCTTCAGCGCCTCGTTCTTTATTTTCACTAGGTCTAATATCTATTACTAATGAGCTGTTTATTACTAGACGTTCATTATAAACTCCAGTACTATCGTAACAAAGACATTATCGCCGTTCGTCTGGGTCGTAACGCCAGTTTGGTGATTGTGTGAACAATTTTTATCTGAACACGAAAATGGAATAATACTTATTCGGCTTAAGAGAGTAATAACTACAAAATTGCGGGAATAATTTGCTTAATTTTAAAGCAATTACCGGCTGAAAAGAATAGAAGGATCCAACACAGTAACATTCTTACAATTTAGCAGAAGATGTCTTGGTTTGGACTTGAAACCAGCATTAGGTATATTCTTTCGCAAAATTTCAACTTGCAAAAAAACAACAATATTGAAAATTTTTTTCACTATACTTATAATTATTTTGTAAAAGTTAGAAGACAATAAGAAAGTAACTATGAATTTGTTGGATTACTTATGAGAAAAAATATTTATCATTAAAGTAGATACTTATCAAAAATAACGTAATAGTAGTTTTAAGAACGGATAAGTTACAGTTCTTTCAACTTCTTAGATGCCTGAATATTTAAATTTAAATAGGTATAAATATCTATTATTTTAGATTATAAGTTTCGTAAGTTGACCAAGCCAGAACTCCAGTTTTATAACGTGTTTCGATGTTGCCCAACAGTTTCTGGATGTGGAAGTTAGTAAATTTTCATCTTTTTCTGTATTAATTTAAGGGTCAATATTTTATTTGGGATATTTTTTGAAACACCAAACCTCTATATCGCATCAAGTAATTGCACAAAATCATTGCATATCTGCTAGCGACTCTGGAATTTAATTGGAAAATGTTATTCCGAAACAAACAACACCTTTAACATTTTTATATCTTGAACGCTGGAGAAAGTTTGACCCAAAAAAACATTTGTCGAGTAGGCCATGTTGTTGCCTAATAGGTACCCACAAAATATTGTAATACATTCGATGGCAGGAATTTATAGACGAAACGCAACCTTGTGATGTTGGTTCTGTTTGACGTATTTTTTTTGTATTATTGCAAAGGTTAGGTTGGAAATATAGAACTTTTATCATCTATGTACACAAAATGTTTTGGAAGTATTCCTTTCTTAACATTCTATCAATAACGGTAAGCTTGTTAATGAGAAGTAAAATTGTTACAAAGATCTTTTTTACGTTTACGAGGACTGAAGATTCTAGTATCTAAGTGTAAGGCTTGTTATTTATTATAGGAATAAAGCAGGGTATAGAATAAAACAATCAATTTTGTTTCTTTTTTATTTATTAAAATAATATCATAACTAAAATGTGGAAATAGTTTTATATCAGTGTTAAATTATACAGAAGTGATTTTCAAGATATTGTATATAAGACGTGAAAATGAAGATTTAATGTTAATAAAATGGATACAACTTAACAATTATTATAAACAACAGTTTTATTATGTACATTGAAAACAATCTTATAATTATTATGTCCTTAACCTGACAAAAAAATTACACCCACAAAGAAAGTTAGTACATAGAATGGAGTTGGACTTGCATAAAAAGATTTATAGTAAAATTAACAAAATCTTATAAATTAAAGAGTTAGTTGCTATGTAATATAAAAATTTGTTCCATTTTAATTATTATCGTTTTAGCGCTTTTTATTATTCGTAATTAAATTTTATTGTGTATTGTGCATATATTTCTATCAAATAAGCGCTCAATTATTTATTAAATTGTTGATAACAAATAATAATGGTTTTATTTAAAAATAATTGTATTACAAATGGATTTTTTTGTCAATACAATAGGAATATTCTCATTATTATGCAGGCAACGATACTGAAATCTATTTCAAGTATATAAAACAAAACTTTCGTATCGTTAGATTATTTGGTAACGGTGGGAACACAACTGGATGAACGGATTATATACTAGGTCTACTTGAAAAGAAGAAGACCAAGAGGTGCCAGTATTAAGGCTAAAGTGACTCCGTAGGTGGTAGCACCGTTGCATACATCGAAGTCACAGGTTTCGCAGAACGAAGTCACTTCATTGTGACCATTTGATGATGTTGGACATTGGTTCGAGTAATCATCTTGGCGTTTCCACGTGCAACCACGAGATACCACAAGTTGACCTCCAACTATAAAATAGAGCGTGAAATTACATAGAAAAATCAATAGAAATAATAGTTTTGATCTTATATATAGAAGGGATTTATGATGTAATTTTAATAAATATATTTTAACGGATATCTGGGCCAAAAATTGTTTATTATTGGTTATATTTTTTACGACATTCATGCTAACTATATAACTCACAAGACACATGACTCAGTGTCAGAAACAGAGCAGTTATACACCTTAATATAAATATGACGCAGAACTTGTACCGAAACACTGACTAAATAATATTTTAATAGTAGATGTAACTAATAAAATGTGATTATCTACCTACTGTATGATTCCATAGTAGATTAGCAAGAATATTGACACGAGATATATTGGTGTATTAAATGTACCTAATTGGTGAGGTTGTAATAGATATTACCTACTATAAGGGCCATATTCGTAAGATTACCGATTGCAGCTGAAATCCCTACTAATATTATAAATACGAAAGTAACTCTGTCTGTCTGTCTGTCTGTTACGCTTTCACGCCTAAACCACTGAACTGATTTTAATGAAATTTGGTACAGAAATAAAGTTGACCTTGAGAAAGAACATAGGATAGTTATTTCCCAGACTTTTGAAAGGTTCTCTTGGAAACCCGATATAACCGAACTCCACGCGGGCGAAGCTACGGGCGGAAAGCTAGTAATTAATATGCAAGAAAATATTAAATCAATTTATAATTTAATAATAATTTAATTAATGAAGTCCCAGATCATGACTTAATTCTTTTTGCTATAAATAAGCAATTTTAAATAACTTTTCTTTATCAAACTTAATATGTTCCCTTTTAATATTATACAAGATTTATATTTTAATATTATACTAATGTATTGAAGTTTTTAAGTGTAATGGATATAGCTTGGATATCTCAACCATATCTGTTATCTGTTTTATCTCTGATGGATAAATTTGGGCTCAAACAATATAATATAAATGGGTGTTCATATTTTGATAAAAATCTTGGAACTATAACAATGAATGACAAATAACAACGTAACCATGGAATTTGTATGATTTACTTGAGTTTCAATGTGGAACTAATTGACATATTGCAATTATCATGAACAATAGAATTAGAAAAATACACGTATTCCTTACCATATGATGTACAATGAGATGAAGGTTATTTGTGTTATACATTTAAGAGAAGCAACAATAAAATTTTATTAAGCTAAACGATTTTGTTACCTCTTAAAGTATAAGGAAGCATGTAGTTTTAAGTAGCTTAAAAAAAAACAAAGATTTTCGCATTTATTACGCTTTTTTTTTTATTTTAACTATGTCCATTTTCATCTCATCTCGTAACCAAGTTTGCTTAAAGATAGAAACTACAAGAGTGTATAGTTGAAATAATTAAAAACGTGTAGTCAATCCGATAATCTTAGTTTTCTTCAAATGAATACTTGCGAAATTTTAAAAATCTCATTAACTAGCTTCTTGGACAGTATTCATTATATATTATATAATGGATAACTATATAATTATTATTTAAACCAGAAGTAGGATACAAAGATTTCTACATGCTTCCTGATATTATTAAAATATCTTATGTCCGGAAATTCACGGCTCATGTGTGATTTGACAGGAAGCAGTCTTTGTATTGTTGTTACTAAAACTATATAGATATGAAAAAACTTGACACAAAAAATCTCATAATATTAGAGATATTAAAAATTTGATTCGGTTATGACTATCTCTTATAAAATGACCATAGACAACAAATAAGAGATGTCAAGACGTCATTAGATGGTTTCACCTTTAAAAGAGGCATTAATAAACAGCTATCACCCTTAGAGTCAAAGTAAAAATATAATAAACTTACCGAATTTCTTCTGCTTCTTACAGGCGGACTTTGACGACGTCAGGTATGGGTAGGAGGCGCCAGTGTTGGCATCACAGTTCTCAAGACGGAAGAGGCCGGAGTTGTCGACGTGAGATGGAATGAATGGATCATTGCAGTACGGGTTTAAATCGGATGAGCACGTCCAGCAACGAACTGCATCACCTATAATAGAAATAAACAAAAAAATTTCATACGAAAGTATTGTAAGCTTGAATGACCAGGTGAAAGCTGAATGGTAGCTGATTTTATGTGGTGTAACATAATTCTTCTATAATAGAAATGGATGTTATATGTTCCAAGAACGATGTAAATTTATTTATTTATTTAGTTTAAAAGGACTTGAAAATAGTATGCACAAAACATGACCTCAATGACATAATGTATTTTTGTAGCTGAACTTAAACTAGAAATAATAGCGGTTGTAAATTTTATCAGTAAAATACTCCTCAGTCATAGAATTACAATTATTTTGAAATGCTTAAATAAGTTTTTATACATGGATAGTTGAGAAAAAAATTATGTTTGTATTACCAAAATAGTTATGATAATGTTCTTGAATGGTTACATAGTTTGATGCAGACCAAAGAAAATATATATAGATTAATTATCTTATGTTACTTATACGAGTATAGTATACGGCCTCTCAATAAAGAAGTAGAAGTCAATACTCAGCTCACCCTAAATAAATGGAACAAGGAATTGTACTCACATGACTATTAATTAACGATTGAGAGTGTATTGTGTTATGCCTTTTTATATATCTACTTATTAAAACTTCTCATCTTTATTCCAGTTGTAATGTAGATTAGAGTTAATAACAATAGATTTATAAAAACCATGTGAGAAAATGTCACTCCATTGTTTTATATAAATAATGATGATAATAACGTGTTCTGTAAAATATGTGTTTATAGAATATATAATTATGTTGAGGCGGATGTATGTAAACATTGTTATCATACATACATACTATATCAGTATGAGCTTATAATACATACTATATTATAAGCTCATACTGATATATGAAATACTTATAGAAATCATCATTTGATTGGAAAGCATATTGATATATAAAAAAAAACAAGACTTTTGAGTTGTGTTTTAATACTTTCTCGATATAATGCTGCCATTATGATTATTTATAGTGCTCTTTTTTTCTTACAATGTATCTTATAACTAATTATCTTTGTAACCTGTAGTAATTATATTAGAACGTACGAAATTTTATTCTCTCAGATACAATTCACTCAACGGCTTCCAAATCGTGAAAATGTTGCACGTGAGGTGAATGGTTTGTTTTCGATGAGAGCTCCTGTTTCTATTATTATTTTTAAGTGGACAATAGTTCCAGCATCGGCGATACTATTTTTAACTCTCGTTGTTCCATCATTATCCAATAATAAACAAACGTTGGTTTAACGTGGGTACTTATATAAAAATAAGTTTTATTTTATTACTTTATTACAAATAATTCCATCGAAAATTAAAGTGCCATAAGTATCTAATTATAAGTACCTAATAACATATAGCTGTACAATATATAATCTGAAACAATTTAAACTCTAAGAAACATTAAAAAAATCGCCATTATATTGTTAAAATTAACACAGAATTATTTTATTCTTTGCCGCATTGTAGAACCAGTAAGAATTTCAATATTATTGATACGATTGATTCCATTGTCACTCAATGCTTTATTTGTCCATACACCGTGAAATTAAATTTTAAGGTCATCAAAAAAACTGTCATTCTTATTTTTTGAGTCTAGTGTTACAGTTTTTTTCATAAAATATGTATTTCAAGGATCTTAATTCTGACACAGATATTCACGGTTTTTTTGTCAAAACATATAATACTTTTATCTTTAGATTTTGTACTGTCAAAATAACACAGCGATCTTCAAAAAATTTTTTCTTTTAGTTTTTTTTCGGAGGTAATAACAAATAGCCTTTGCTTTTTTATTATTATTATCCGGTTTTTCTTCATTGTTTAAAAAACCTTCGGACACCATGACGTTATTTAATCACACCTAACAACCTAAAAGTACTATATTTATAGAATAAAATAAGCTGACCTAGATGTTAAAACAATAAGCAATAGAATTATTTATTCTTAGTAATTAAAAAATATATTTAAACTTTAGTTAAAGGCGTTTTAAACGAGCGTTTATCAAAATAATTTTTATTACGTCCATAAAAGGAGTCTATTTGCTATTTAGCTCATTTTAATTTCAATGACATAATTTAAATTGAGCAAAAAAAATGAGACTTGTTAAATATACCATCCGTGGCTAAGCCGTCTAAGAACTAGGCCTCATTTTAATCATTTATTCAAAATTGTTCTTATTATTTCATAAACATAATCAAGCAGGATCACACAAATATGATTTAAATAATTGGGTCAACCAGATTAACACAAAAATGACAATATTTGGGTAAAACTTTAGTTGTGGCACACCTCTATGACATAAAAACAACCATTTCCCTTAGGGATCGTAACTCAAAGGGCCTCTCTAGACACTATAACGAAATAATTATACATGCAAACCGGCTTACATGCTGTATTATCGCACGCACTTTATTGCAATAGTTTTCTGTGTAACAAATTCAGAACCCATCGATAAGTAACGTTCTAGGTCACTATGTTGCTACCAACAATGCCTAGCACGTTCGTTTTGTTAAAAATTAAACTCACGATCCCTGGTACATAAATACTAAGAGAAAAGAATTGTCAAATTAGAATTATGATTGTAATAATAACTTAAGAATGAAGAATGTATCTCCGAGTAACTTTGATTGAATTTTTAAATATTTCTAATTATAAAGAAAATACGAAGTTAACATAAGATATGGACATTCATGTTTTCTAATGTAATTTTCTTTCTTCATAGAACGGAACATTCATATGGAGCAAAATAGTAAACTCTAACAATGTATATAAATAAGGATGAAATCTGACTATAAATAAAGCAGCTTCAAGCCAATTAAAAAAATAATTCTATAGAATTCTTGTCTTTATCGATGTTGTTAAAAAAGTTCTTGCTTCAAATTCATCTTCTAAAAGATCTCCAAGATTTTCCTAAATACACACTATTCATTGAAATAAAGAAGATATTTTAATAATTAAACAATTTAATATGCATTCCTTAATGTCATTTTATTGAAGTATTACGTAGTATTACGTTTAATTGAATGGAATTTTCAATTACATACATATTTTAAATGTATAAATTAGTTTTTATGCCGAATGATTGACAATAGATAATTTTTAATTATTTCCCTGCATCAATCTTTAAACCATTATAAATAGTTAATATTCCTAGCTACATTTTTGTGTAGGCGTACATAGTATTGAATTAAAAATATTATATATTTTTTATTAAAAATATTAGGTATTTGTTTTTATAACCGGTTGAAATGGGATATATGGAGTATTATATAAAAGTAGAATTTTATTAAATTTTACAAGGCGAGTAAAGTGGCTCAATAAATACAAAAACTATTACAAATATAGGTCATTTCCTTATGGTTTTCAAAGCTTCCAAACAAACTAATATTAGGTCAAAATTCTTAAAGAATTTTACAAATCTCATTTTACAAATGTCTTTTCAAACCGTCATCTAAATATAACTGATAGTAAACTTCGAGCTTCTGCCGTATTTCACAACATTTTGAATCAAAGCCAAATTCTAATAGTCTACGTGTAAAATATAATCTTGTCACAATTGTATCATCTATATAAAAAGTCTTTCAAAAATGAGATAATTATTTTACGTTTACGCCAAACAGTAAGTATAGTATCTCATTTTTATTGTAAAAATAGTAGAGCTATATGTAAAGAACATCTATTTGTGTTATATCTTTTGTATGATAAGGTTTGTAAAATCCATTTCATAGTATAATAAAAGAGTTGATATGAGGTCAATTTATAATCATCAATCACTTTCACAATGCACCGTGTACTATACGCGGCCTGGATTCTATGGTACAAACGTCAAACAAACGAAAGCCGTTCTGTGCCAGCCAAATATTAACAAAGATTATGATTTCATAGTTATTATTACTCATATATAAATATAATACAAATGTAAATTAGTATTATAAAGAAATATAATATTAACACTAAATTTCGCGTTCCATTGTATACAAATTAGTTATATTTAAATAATATTTTTTATTGAAATACTTATGTGGTAATAATTTATAACGTATTTTGTAGATAAAATTGAGCACTTTTTAGTGCTAATAAGTTATTTTTTTGCAAAAATTAAACATTCAATTCTAAAACTACTTCTGTTACTAATGATAACACAACAGAAATGCCTTTATTGCAATTTCTCTTCATATTTCACCATAAAAAAATCCAACTTTTTGGTGCATTAAAAAGTATTTTATGTTATAAACTGCATTAACATGTGGGGTGGTCAATGAAATGTCGATGAAGTCTGTGTCATTAATTACGTCAATATTCCATACAAAGGAGCAATTTGTCCCCATCCGGCGTTTAGAACCCTCCAAGTAATTTCATTCATTATATACAGCAGATTAAATACATCAAATGATATAATATTTTAATAAGAACATGACTTATTACGTTTCTGGTCTATTAAGAGAGATTTTTTATACAGGGTGACTGGTGAATTACTATCAATATTTATTAAGGAGAATACTCGGTACATGATTCTCATTCGAATTATGTAAAAAAATAGGTACTTAATTTTTGACCAAATTTCCATATATTTATTGTAAATTCTCTAAACTAATTCTAAGCGGTACTTGTAGTTTATAAATATATTTGTTTCGTGGTTTAGCAGTTATCACAGATGATACCAATTTGGTTTCATCTAGCTGGTGACTAACCTGACCTCCATCCACCTTAACATGGGGTCATGGCCCGCTAATGTGGTGTAGCAAATTACTAATTAAGGAATGACATACATTTTTACATATATGTAGGTACAGACGTGAGAAAAAACGATCTATATACATAGAATTAAATTTATCAATATTTAAATAGTTGTAGTATCTAAATTATTTGATTTTTATTATAAGAAATATAAATCTTATTTTATGGCGTAACAATTATTTAGTTGTTTGACACTTGATCTCCATATTCTTACATTGGATTTAATCTGACCACTTTATTAATAATAATTGGTGTTATGAACAACTTCTTTTCTTGCATATTTTTCCGTGTTTTTTTACGTTAGAATTTTAAATATATTTAACCATTTTATGTTCATATGTAAACTAAATTAATGTAATACTTAATTTTTCTAGTAATAAAGTTAAAAATTGAAAAACATTTGTCCATCCAAACCTTATTAAATAATGTTTATTTGATAATAGTAAGATTTTTTTTTAAAATTAACTTGTGGATTTATCGTACGTCACAGTTACATAATGTTTTTTTTAACAATATTTTTTGATAGATAATATTTTTAGGGATACTTTATCTGTCTCGTAATTGTTAATTTATTGAGGTTTCACAGTTAATTATAAATACAATAGCGTGATATACCTCCATTCAATGGCTCAACAATACTTGGTGTTACCATAATAGGGTCGGACCTTTTTATTGAATTATATTCAGTGTATGCGGGTTTAGATAAAGAATTAATACTTATTATTGTATTGATATTTAATTTACGGTAATTACCAAGTAAAAAAAATATTACAGCCTCTGTGCTCAAATGATCTATTATGTATATATTGGTTTTATTTGCATATAACAATTACATTATTTATACCATGCAAGTCACGGTACTGTCAGACTTAATAAATATATGGTATATGTTAGCAAAATATTCCATAGTGTGTTTGAAGTAAACATGGTGATTAAAAACATATATATAGCGAACAGTCGGTAGAGCTATGGTGTTTCTTCTCCCACTCCAATTTATAACTTACAACACTTCTATGTATGTCAAGTCACCGCACTAAGTGAAAGCTTGGTACTAAACTAGTTACTTTAAAAGATGCGTCCGTACATACTTATTAATTTGTTTAATATTTAAAAAGTTTATATATCTTTACAAACATTGTGAATATTTTTTTGTTTTAATTTAGTTCAATGGTTTAAAATGAGGCGACACTTGTACTAATATTTGTCAAACATTGCCATGTATGAAATGGTTTTGTTTTAACCAATACGTACTGTTGAATATAAACTATTAATTTGGTATTTTTCTATACGAATGTACCTTATTAAGTCGTTATTAGAAGCTGGTACATTATGATAGTTTCTCGAAGTATCTATTTAAGTAATTTCGTTCCACAGTTGTTAGTGACACGAAATGCTTTGGATAAACGCAATAATATTATTTAAATATTCCATTTTTATTTTATTTTTTTTTAATATAAAAATATCCACAGATTATATTATCATACTATACTCTTTGTAATAGATTATAAATAAATAAACACGTATGGAAGTCACGTCATTAGACGATAAACCAGTGTGGGTAGTTTGTAAATGCGGTTGCGCATAAATTGCGAAGATGATACCAATCTTTAACCAGATACAATTACAGGATAATGATAATAATAGTAAGGATATATCTCAGGATAAATTAACTGACAACTTAGAAGGGAAGAAAAACAAAATAATTTTTGCTCATAATATGTGCATTTTCTGTAGAGTTCATTTGTAGTACTTAAATTTATATATAAAATCAGCTAACATATTTGAGATGATATATAACAAATTTAATTAGAAAATCGTAAGAGGCAAATCTACATATTATATTAGGTAACATAAAGAGTCTCTTATAAATATCCAGCAAGAATTGTTAAGGATTTCTGTCTTCACATTTGTTATTGTTTTTCGATAAGTTTGCTAGTCGCTAGATACTCCGAGCTTCAAGGCTGTCATGTTACTTCATGGGTTACGACCGTAAAATATATTGCGCAGCTATCGTAATTATTTAGCTTGACCATGGGGCCTCAAATGGTACAAACACCATAACGTATTTATGGTTTAATATCACCATACTTGCAACAGGTGAATTTACGATTGTACGTGCTTATATTTTTAATAATATTCTGTCATGACAATGGACAGGTTAAATCTAATAATATTTTTATAAGTAACAAGTAAAGAACTGAAATAAACAAAACACCTTTAATATGAGATTAAAAAAGAAATATAACGAAAACGAAACTTTCTTACTAAAAATTAAATCAAAATACATTATTTACTAAGCATTATATTATAATACGAAAATATTTAAGTTTTTTTCTTTAAAAACTTGTAATAAAATTAAAGTACAGGACCGCTATCATCGACAAAGAAAAACAACAACAAATGACATAACTGTAAACAAAACTTTCTTTTTCATTTTTCCGTTACGTCATCATTAGAATAAATAACTTACCTCGTGTTACGAAAACGGCAACCAACAAAACCGGCACTAAAAGAGAAAACATGCCCATTATAAAACTTTACACTTGTTTTTAAACAAAATTGAAATAATACGTTCGTCTCGGTTCAGACGCGGGAAGCGAATGCCAAGTGCCAACTGCCAAACAAGTAATTCCAAAACCAAACTGTCATAGTACGCGTAAGCGGCGTAAGTGAATAAGTCAACATTTTATAACCTGTGGCGGGCAAATTTTGTTGTAGGTTTTTGCTATATTAAAGACACGCAATTTACAAAGGCAAATTACAGAATAATATAGTAATCAAATATATAATGAATTATAAGCTACTTTATTACGATAACAGTTTTAAGGAATGACTTGTAAAAAAAAATTGTAACAGTAATCGACTTTCTGTTAGAATGGTAACGATTCTTCTTTATAGTCAAATACTTTTATTATTTTTGAATAAATGTTTAACAAAAACCATCTCATATTATTTTGTTCTTTTTAATTCCCTTTTACAGTAGTAACAATTAAAAGGATCTTTAAATAGTATTTAGGATTTTTTTGATTTAATTAATATAACTCTAATTTTAGATACCATTTTAAAACATTAAAAAAGTCTTTATGCAATTATATAATATACATAATCTGTTCATTTAAGAAGCCTAAAGGATTTTAATTAATAAATATAGATATATAAAACAAACGAGTATATACAATTACAAATTATAATACGACCTCTACAAAATAAGCAATTTCAATCAGCCTTTTGAAATAGCAAACAACCAAAACATTACTTTATTTGGATTTTCAAGTCCAATAAAAACAATAACAAGTTAAATCGTTTTCTGTTATTTTATGTACACTTATTAAAAATTCATCAAGAATAAAAACCGGTTGGCTTTGTTGACTTCCAAAGTTATTTATAAAAAATAAGTTAAAACTTACGGGTTGAATTTAGAAGTTTCTCGGTAAATTTTTATGATAAAAATAATACCGATTTTCTTTATTGATATGTAAGCAATATATATAATTATTAATTATATACATATGTACGTAATTCAACAAAGTTTGAATGTCAAATTAAACATAAAATAACAAAAATTTTGCTTCTAAATTACTAAAAATGAGGAATGATAAATCTAGACATAAAAATCAAAACGATTTGAAAAATATTTGTTGTCCCAATTATTTAATTACCTAAGTCCATTTCATTTATAAATTAATTTTATTATTTGTATTTCTTAAATATCAAATAGTTTCAATAACAACAGTGACATTTACTTATTTTGTTCTGTGGACAGCAGTTACAAGTACTTCATTCAAGGCTATTATTTCGATTACCGAGCGTAAAGATACGAGTTATTTAAAAATGAAAATTGCAATGTTATCGTCTTCACAAATAAACAAAATTTTGTTCCACAACTAGTTGTCATCTTTTTATGTTGGTAATTGGCATTGATTTATATTCAAATGAAAATTAAGATTATGAAATCTTAGCTAGATGACCAATTTCAAAATGTCATGTAATTTAAACCAAATTTATTAATATTAAATGTAAATCAGTTTGAAAGTGTAAAAACACCAAATGACTTAGAAATAAACAGTTTTGGACTATGAGAATAATTCATATTTTTAAGAAGCACAAGATTATGATATTTAACAGTTTTGCTTGATCTTATGTAATTAAGATACTAATATGTAATTAGTGTAATGACATGTGACGCCTGTATTGAGTTCTACTTTCTCTGAAAGATAAATTTTACTTCAAATATATTTATCTCATTTAATGGATCAATTTATTTTAATTTATCTTATTTATTGTCTTATATATCAAGGACGATTAGTTGTAAAGTTAGAAGAAAGGGAACAGCTTATCTTTCCAATATAAATGCGTTATTATAATGAGGGTTATTCATAAATTATAAAAGAAGTGCTATCATAATTGTGAATGAGAATCTTTCATGGAAGTAATAAAAAAATATGACTTTTCAGACTTCGAGCTGTTAGACGATTTGAAGTTTATAGACAAGATATTTTTTAGCTGCTTTTGCCAATGATAATATATTTTGATAAAAAGATAACACATTTTATGTAGGAAATTGTTTAATATGTACAAAGCAACTATGAGTTTTTTAAAATCCTATAAGATAAATCTTTAATCAGTTAGTTTCGTTCGGTTGTCGTTGTGATATTGAAAAATAATATTAACAAAAGTTAACAAAGCGTGGAGTTATCTATGACATAGTATATTTCGCAATCAAAGGTGAGGCCATGATGACGAAGAAGGCCAGAGTGAAGTCGGCTATAGAGTGAGATGCTGCGCTAGAGTTACATTTGTCTCCCTCACACTCATAGCAATATAGTAGAGATACTATATCAGAGTGTGCTGCGTGGGCTCGTCTTATATCTTCACAGGAGCCTCTTTCAGAAGCACATCCGCGTATGGTCCATGGAGTTTTCATGTCTGTATCGGATTATTTACAATTAAATTCTTTTATTTATGACTCTGCAAAATATACCTACTGGGTATATTCAGTCAATTAAATTATTAGTTTCTTATAAACACATATGTTAGGAAAATTATCTGTATAGAAGGTAACTTTAGTAAAATTAATTTCTTTTGATGAGATCAAATATCGAAAACCACTCACGAGTATTAGTTGAAACAAAACTAATATTTTCGGTGTTCAGAGTATGTACTTAAGATCATTATAATCGCGTAATAAATCCGAAAATATAAATTACATTTTAATTCCTTTTGATTTTAATAAAATAAGGATTACTTACGTCTGTATTGTTCAGAGTATGTTACGCAGCGTCCTTGTTTCGTGGGATCGAGGGTATACGGGCATAATTTTGAGAGGGTGCTAGATGTGACGGCGGGGCAACCTGTGCAAGCATAGCATACCACCACATCGACAGGTAATTGAGTTGGTATCAAACGCTGTCGTACTGGGGAGTTCGCCAATGCTGTAGCCTGTGCTCCAGACTTATCATCCGTACTATTTTCTTCGAGCGTTCTTTCGGCTGTTGCTAAGTCATATTCGCTGGCGTGTTGATAATCTAGATGAAAATAATGTTCTTAAAAATGGTTACCTATAGAAATTTACGTAATATTTAAACAATATCTTAAAACAGAAAAATAGGGAATATTTTTATATACTTTTTGTATTATTTAATGTAATTAATTGTTTATAAAAACAATGAAACACAAGTATTATATTAAAACCTTACCTGAAACGGTCACTTTAAAAAATCCAAAGAAAATGCATCCGAAACAGAGTGTTAGGGCGATCTTCATCTTGTTGGACTGAAATGCATTGGACTTATCCCTCGTGAATATATATTTTATAGGATTGCTTATCACTGCAATCACTAAATACGATGCGCTTAATGGAGCTTTAAGATACGCTATCGTCAGTCAGCTATTGCCATTGTTATTAAAGCAATATCTTGATCAGTACTAATAGGCTGTACTAAGGTAGTAAGATTGGCAGAAAAATTGTGAAGTAACCTTCACCTTAATTTAATCTGGAAAAATTGTTTAAAATTTAAGTACAATAATACGTACAAATTACTCGTAAAAATAAAAATGTATATATTATATTTCGTATAACAATAGTAATATTTTTTTCCTTACATAATTTCCGCTCATTATAACTAACCTGACAGATGTTACCATTTCATAATTAACATAGCCATGCCATCAATATTTACATATTATATTTTTAATTCAAAAGTATCTCAGTCCTGCCGTTAATATTTTAACGGTTGTATGGCTGAAGCAACTTGAATAAAGTTTGTTTTGAAAGTATAGTTTTAAATGGAAGAACATTTAAATGAAGTTAATATTTTTCAGATATAACATGCGTGCTTTATTTTTGTAATAACTTCATTGTCCCAACGTTTCGGCTACTTTTCAGCAACCGTAATCACTGGCAGACGAGATGTGAATGTCTGTCAGTTGGTCCATGGTAAATTTCTGGCGTACCACTCTGGATGCTTCCAGACTGCGCTTACGATGTCCCGAGGTCCTGCGGTGTGGTCACGGACATGGGATTTTGTATTGTCAAGAAGGGGATCAGGTGTTTGATAAATTCCAGCTATCTTCTCTATTGAAATCACTTTGTTTTTTAATTTCAATAGCCTCACGGATAAACCTCTTTATATTCCTGTCTTCACGAGCGAGGATACGTGGTTTATCAAACCGAATGCAGTGGCCTGATTTATCCAATGTGTGTTCACACTCTGCTGTGGGTGGCTTCACGTGGTTCTTGCGATGCTGATGAGGCACGAGCAGGTTGTTAATGGTGAGAGTATGTTCAACGTCTTTCAGCTCGGCCTCTAGTCGGTAAGAATAACAAAGGTATTTTGCTCTTTGTAACAAAGATTTGCCAACAGTAGCAAACTGGACAGGGTGGTGGTGTGAGTTACCATTGAGATACCTATCCGTATGTGTGAGTATCGTATAAACAGTATGTCCCAAAGTATTGTTAGGATTCGGGATTCCTAATGACAAGTATACCAAGGAAAGCTAAAGAACTCTAATTCTACAGTAAACTGAATCTTGCTTTTTGATAGAATTAAGGTAGTTCAAAAAAGCATGTTTTATTTTTATTTAATATTGTGAAAGTGTCATCTATATACCTACTGTTACATATTAAGGTAAATTAGAGGTAAATTATAGAATTGTAGGAGAGCAAAAGGCTCGCACCTCGAAGTCCTCCATGAATATATCACCAGCAAAAGGGAAACCGGCGAACTCATTGCAACTGCATCTACTTGTATGTAGAATTCATTCTTCCCCATGAGGTAGTCAGATGTTAGGCAATGTTTTAATAGCTCTGCATATTCTTTCACTTACCTCTTACAATCTCTTTGCAGTCAAGAACAGGTAGACTAGTGAATAATAACTGTACTTCGAAGCTGACCATACTGTCATTATCTGTCAATTTTAGGTGTTGCTTAAATGTAGCCGAAACTTCATCGGGAGCATGTATTTTTGTACAAAAATAAAGCACGCGTGGTATTTCCGAAAATTATTAGTTTCATTTAAATGAATAAAAGACTTTCACGTCTTAGATATTATTATGGGAGAACATGTTGAAAAATTAGTACCTTTTCTACGTTTTGATAATACTTTGTTATTAGTTTTGTAAATATTACTTACCTTTCACATTAATAACAGTTTTCTAAAAAAAATCTTTAAAGCAGAGAAATATTATTTGTGTATTGAACTTTAGATAATTAATTTATAATTGATTTTTTTTATTACTCGCTAATAGTAGGGACTCTAAAGCGAATCTAACGAAGTCTTATAAACCATAATAGGCATGTAAAAATAAAAATTCATTATGTCTAGTAAAATAAGCATTCGTTTTCGCTTTTTCTCTTGTCTTGTTATAATATAATGCCTAACTTATTCCACGTTAAGTATGTAAAATCTTTTTTTATTTTATTGTTTTGTCCCTATCAAAAATTACATTAAATCAGTAAAAAAATATTCAAAAGTGGGATCAGATAGCGTCATCGGCCTTAGAAAGATAAATTGAAAATAACTGTGGTATGTATTCTGTCAATAACTCCATAAGTTATTTTGCAAATTATCTATCCGAAGCCGCTAAGTGCTAACCCTATTTTAATCAGCTAGGCATTTTTAACTTTTATTAAATGTGGTAAAACATTAATATCGTAAATAGCTGTTTTTGTTATTTTTGTTCTGTTTTATTTTAGTTCCCAGTAATAGATTGTCGAGTAGTATTGCGTTACAATACGTCGTTAACTTAAATTTTTAAACCATTACACGCACGACCATAGACAACGTCTATTTTGGTAGTCACTGTTAATTAGGGATTACATTTTGCAGTAAAGATAGTTTTGTATTCATTGTTCTTATCTTGAACTTGTACTTTCAAATTTTAAAGTTAAATGCGTAATTATAAATAAGTACAGTTTTTTTAAAAACTTCGGATCAGATTTGAATAATAAATTGTTATATACTTATATTATGTGATAGGTCTTTTGTTATTTAGTTTTCAAACTACAAATCGGCAAGTTATGTCTCCAGATGACTCCAGATTGATGATGTCGAAACGTCTTAATGATACGACTTTTAAGTAAACATAGTTTAATTACTCTTTGAGAAGTTTTAACAGACTGATCGAGAAATGTGGCGGCTTGAAGCGGACCACCAAAGTATTTTTTACAGATTTTTGAATGTTGTGAAAAGAAACAATGATATCTCTTTAACTTTATTAAAAACATATACACAAGGTACACATTAACACGATAGATAAACATTTTTTTATTGATAAAACAATAATCACTAAAGATTTGCCTTTCAACTTTGTACATTTCAATTAAAATGATCGGTGATAAGATGTTGTTAGTCAAAATATAACTAGGTTTGAAACATAAAAATATAATAAAATCATACTATAGTAATAATTATGATACTATTACAGACATTATGACAATTTATATTTATTTTTGTATTAAAATGAAAAAGAATACAGCGCGTCTAATACTCAATATATGTATATAATTTTTAATTATAACTGTGACTTTTATATCCAGTATGGTAGTTATGAATAACATCCACCACCTGTAGCGAATGTGTATACATTAAGTCATTTATAATTATTTGTTTATCTCTTATTAAAATAATTCACAATGATCACGATTTAAAACATTAAAACCTACATGTATATAAACTATTTCAACAAGCAACAATCAGAACAATCGTGTTGGACGGGATGTTTATATAAGGCCGAAGTTATAATAAGAAATTAAAAAAAAAATGCGGATGTTCACTCTCACATCTCAAACACATTGACACATCTCGAGTTTTCAATTTAACTCTATTTTAAGTATTACGTATGTAATCGTTATAAAATTAATAAAGTGCTCCGTTGTTTTTTTTTTCATAATCATCATTTATTTTAGCACTAAATATATAAAATCGGTGTGATTTCAACAATTACTGGCCTTATATTACGTTCGTTTTAAAATTAAATTGTCACTTAACATTATAAGCGGAAGCAATAATGAAGCTGAGCTTTTAATGCAGCTGATTATTGCTTGCTGTAGAGATAAGAGGCTAAAAGTGCTGCTAAAGCTAAAGGTAGAGAGAATCCTACAGATGTTGCTCCATTACAGCGGTCTCTGTTACAAACACTGCACTCCTTGACCTCCCTGCTGGGGTCAAGTTGGGCTGGCATTCTGGAGATAAGACTGCACGATTGCCCCATTTCTGTAGGATTCGCATCCAGGCAAGTTCGGACCGTTGCGCCGTTCTCTGTAATTGTTTAAATAAAAAAAATAATATAAATGTTAAAAAATGTTATGCAAATTTCATGTTCTGCTCTGGCCAATGTTTTTCCTCTCGTAACTTATGTACGAAAAAATCTAAGTGTAATTTAATTCGTGTTAAAAGTAAAATGATGTATCAATATACTTTTTAAAATTATTTACCTACACTTAGAGGTAAGTATAAGACCTAATAAGTCCATTGAAACAAGCCTCTAAAAAAATATTTCGATTACAATTTACAACTACTTACAGTACAAGAAAAATAATAAAAGGAAAAGATTAAATTTTTACTCACTCATAACAATTTTGTGGCAATACCTAGGCGCACCAACTACAGAATCAATGAGTTCCCGTGGCAACAAATCCTTCAGGTAAAGGCGGTTGTAGTTCACAGAATCTTGAGTTGAGCAGTCCTAACAAAAGTATAATTAAATAATAATTATCAGCCTTCAAAATATTATACTAATTACTAATACGTAACAAATTAAAATAGTGTATTAAAGGAATGTTTAAAAAAACTCGAACAATCAAAACAGGTTTAGTTTAAGATATTAAAAAATCAATTACATGGTAGTTCTAGATATAAATTTTCAATGGTATTAATGGAACTTACAACTAGGCTATTTGATGACATGAATGGATCCTTGCAAGTCGGGTCAGATTGAGAATTACACTGGTAACATTGTAGACAGGACCCTGAAATAAAACAAAGGAAGTTTTATATAAAATACAAAAAATAGTACATTTCTACGCCTATTATTATTATTGAAATAGGACAATATACATCTGGTTTAACTGATTGTTTTCTGTTGCAGTTTGCAGTAGGTGTATGAAAAATTACACTTTTTATTATCAGTTATGTTTAGATAAATAAAATAAATATGCTACATAGTAAGTCTTTGAAAAGGTTTTACGGTAGGAAAACCGTTCTGCTGATATTGTTAAACTATTTCCATTTTTAACTTAAATTAACTACAGTTCGGTTTAGATCATTAGGTATTTTGTCTTAAATTAAATCTTAAGAATGGCTAACGCTTTTTAATACTTACACATGGAATTATTAAAAATTATGTTATTTCATAAAAAGAAGAAATTAGTCAAAACATTATTATAATATATTTAACTATCTAAATAAATATTTTCTGAATGCGAAAAATATTTATATCGAAATAATAAATTATAAAAGACTGCTCGTGGTCCATCTATGTATGTAAAATATTACAGCTAAAACAAATGTTTTCAATATATTGTTATAAATGTATACGCAATTATGTTAAAGTTTTACAGCCAGATACAAGCCTTTTTAAAGACGATATTTAACAATAAGTTCGTCTGTGAACAATATACTGTTTAGTTATAAATTAGTGTAAATGATTATCGTTTTGTGCTATCACAATATTGATTTTTTCATATAAAATATATTTATTTAACTTCATAATTCATTTATTGCTTCAAATAAAGCAAAGTTTATTTACATCAAGTTTATTTAAAATGTCACACGCGCGGTTATGTTACAATGACATCATCGGGCCACTTGTATATTTAGGCCATGATCAAACGCCTTCGACAAGCAACGTTGTTTGATTTTGCGCGTTACCAGATTGTTATATAGTTTCATTTATAACTATTTATAGATTCCCAGCTAGTCTTTTGTTTTGGATAATACGACGTTTCAGTTGTTACGTACGCTATGTGACAGAAATGTTAAACGTTGAGATGAGATCATCAAATAATATTTTTGCAAATGGCCTCAACATCAAACCTGTTTCGCCGTTTTTTTTATTTATTAGGTTTGCATATTTTTCTATTCCTACTATAATTATAAATGACCTTAACAATTATTGTTTTATAACATACATATTATGGTTGAAGTTATTAAAGGTAGAAATAATGTAGGGCTATTTTCTTTTACTTCATTTGTAAGTATTTATCATTTTTTAAGCAAAAATCGCAATAAGAAATACTTATTGTGCTAGATTAACACTTAGGGTACTTTTATTTTCAAAATTCTTAAAGGTAACAGAATATTAAATGTACAATAGATTTACATTAATCTATCACAACGTGGTTTTATTCCATGACCAGAATGAAACCTAAATGGTTACGTATAAAAAATATCAGCAGAGTCGAAAACAACATTTTTTTTCTGTTATACATACGGCCAGTCATCTTCCAAGGCTATATAAAGCCTTAATTTATTAGTTAAGTATTTGCCATATATTGTTTTTTGTGTTGGCATCTTCCCAATTTAAGCGTACTGGCATCCTTTACCTAATAGATACATATTATTCGGGTACACATTATGTAGAGTGCTTCTGTTCTTCTGTACTTTATGGTTCGATTTCGATAAATTCGTTTTTATTAGATTTCTGTGTAAGTTTTTTTCTTGCCGAGACTGATATATGATAAATCAGAGATGAGAGTTAATTTTAATACATTTTAAAAGAGGCCATACAATTTGACTGAGCTAATATGAAACCGGTTAGTTACCTGTAACTAAATTCTAACCACTAACACTAGAATGAAATCGCGTCTATGATTATAGACGCGATTTTCCTCTTGTATTTGAAGTTTTAAACCTTTTTACTTCTTACTGGGAAGTGATAAATAATATGACACCTATACTTTTAAAGATATATACTCTTGCTAATACGAGCTTTTACAATGATTTGATGTTAATAAGAGATAAAAGTCGAAGTATTTATTCATTTTGGTATCGGTATCTCTCTGCGATATTATTTATGTTATTCACATAACATATAGATTTACAAATGATAAATAGGTATTAAATGCATACAGTGGTTACACATGGTACATTTTACATTATGAGTCACTACAGGTAAAAACAAAGACTTTGTTTTATTATTTATTTGTCGTGAGATGATAATAACATTTCTCAAGGATGTATTACGTCATTTATGATAACTATGGTGTACTTAACCTTGATGTATGTATAAGGTACTGTCAATAGCATTATGTATGTAAATAGGTATAGGAAAAAATTACTTGAGTCATCTCGTTAATAGAACACGATCCTACAATAAATCTTATAAGAGAAACCTTCGTATTTATTATATGGATAATTATATTGCAGAATGTTTGAAAACCCTGTCAAAAATAATGATATATTTATCACAGTCCTAGAAATTGAGTATGGTTACGAAAAATGCTATCCCATGTCAGAGATCATTGTTTTTGAGGATGGTTTTGTAATAATTCCCATTTCAAAATATGCTTCTCCCTACTTTTTTTCTCAGTGTTTGTCACCAACTTGAACAATAACATCGTGACATAACAGATCATAAAAAGTTTAATAGCTTTTTGTCATTCCGAATTTTATTTGCACATATATTCATATACATATATCAGGATATCTGTATCAGCTCAGGATGTCAAAGCCATCCCTTTTCCGATCTACATTCCGTTTTTCCTTCTACGTCTGTTTACTCAAACAAAACTCCGACTAATTTAGAAAATGTTTATGTCTCCTAGCGTTCTGTTGATTTTTTCTTCGTAATCCCAAGAACTTTCATAGACCTTCTTATATAGAAATATACACTCTATTTATTATTCTTTCCTAAAAGACCACTCTTAAATGGACTCTCACGAGTAGTTACACCAACCAAAAGTTCAATATCATTCAAACAAAAATATCGAAAAACTTTATCTTTATTTGCACTTCTAGGATAGTAGTCTTATTTTAATGGCAGTTGTTTTTTTCTTATTTTTTTCTCATTCCGTCATTATCTACTATTGTATTTTATTTCATAATTATCTTTTGTTCCATTCTTATTGTATAACACAGTAATCTAAGTCTGCTTTAAGGAGACCTCTATTGGACCATATCAATATAAGGTTCGGTTAATAGTCCAGGGCAAGGACGCGACAAAGCGATAAAACTGTTTTATTGTATACATTTATATCAAATAGCTTTAATTGAATTTCTTTATGTGATGTATAAAAATGTACAATAACCTACTTTACTTAACATCACAGTGTAATTGCAGATATATTATTATTTCGATTCTAAATTCAATGTGTAGAAGAAAAAAAAGTTTGAATGTATGACATTCACTCAAAAAACGAGAGAATTATTATGTTCTTTTCTTTTTAATATAACACATGAGGGCCCTGGCACCAAGACTAAGTAATTTAACGAGAATGTAACAATGTAAAATTTGATTGATTTAGTTAATTGAAATCTATAATTTACACTCGTTTATGTATATACAATTAAAAATTCTTCTTTTTGGCTTCATAACAGTCAACAGTACTCTTTATAAAACTTTATAATTGTAATTAAACCTTATTAAACAATTAACCTAGTCCTCGAGTCAACGACACGTAGTCTATTTAATAAAACATGTCATACATATTGTATGCAAAATATGTTAGATGTTAATATTGAACAAATTCATTATATTTAATTTATAGAAAACATAAATTTGTTGTTGACCTTTTACACATATTTAATGACTCGGAACGCATTTGTATTGTTGTTTTTGCACAGACGCCAGCATATTCCTTAAAATATTTCACGATTATCATATCAGAGTATATTAATCAAATATGCTTTTCATTATTACCAAGGATATAGGGCAGTAAATTCAGAGCTGTAACAAGGCTAGCGTGATGTTTATGCATAGCAATGGAAGTTTTCTGTTGTGCTCTCGTTAAAAACCTGGACTGTAGCCAAAGATGCGTAAGACGTTTGAGACTTATAAAATCATATCCCTAGAGTGTTATCGATTGCTTCGATAAAACAGATATTAGGAGCAGGAGATTCTATCCCGGGTATAGGTAAGACTTATATAACATTATATTTGATTTGTCCTTCAGTCTAGTTTGGATCGCGTTTTGAAAACTAAACTGTGGTCTATTTAGTTTTATAGTATGAACTGAAATAAAAAATCTATAGGTATTAATTAATATTATTAATTTAGAAAAATCATAACGAACAATTATGTTTTATATCGTTTCAAATTTAATTTTTAACCTAGTGACACCATGATGTATTTTTAGCTATGACATTATCTTATTGCAACGTTCGCAAGATATGTACATACTTATAATTGGATATGAATTCTAACGTTGTTTAATTATTTTCTTAGATCTTCTTGTAATATAAAAATAAACAAATTATTTGTTTAACGTCATTATCATTAAACTTTCAATAGTTAAATTCTGAACTGAAATTCTGAGCTGAACTTCAAGATTAACTTCATTTGAAATATTATCATTCTTTTTGACACTTCTTCTTCACAGAAGAGGTCATGTACAATTATGTTGTTAGTCTAATCATGAAGACGACTCATAGTTCGTCACCGAGCTCAAATACATATTATATGTATACGTAACAAAGAATTGGTTTGTTTTTCTACCAAGGATCTGTGTATTCATTTATTCTTAATTGATTGATATTCTGATATGTATACTTAATATTATTTTTTATTGATTTGTTATTAGATACTCTAATATGTTGTAAATATGTATACTTTCTGTATTTACTATTAGTTTGTGCCTTAAATATCTAAAAATATATGTATATTTTTAAATATTCGATACAATTTTTAGAAGTTCATTAATGTTTTTCTGTTTTTAGATAAGATTAAGGAGTAGTAGTAAATTTATACCAACATAATAATGTACCAACATAAAAACTATAAATTGTTTGATTAATCAAAATTATTTATTTAGTATGTAATATATTGTGATTATAAATTTATTGCGCTTTAATGATGGTGATCAATAGTTGTAAGAATTATCCTCATACCATTTATCACTTGTAATTACAGTCAAGGAATAAGCTTCGTAATCGCTAAGTTAATCAAGTATTGAACAAAAGTACATTTTTTATCAGCTTAAGTGATGTAAATATAATTTTTTTTGTTAAATTAAAAAAACACTTTGTAACCAACTTAAGTATTTTAAATGTACCAAATATAATATACAGGTAAAAAAACATAGTATAAGTTATGTCTGAAATATTTACGTCTTGCATACTTTGTAGTAGATTGTAATGACCTATTTTTAAGCCAGATGTAAGAAAAATAATTGGTTTTTACATGTTCGTGCGGTACATATGTTTTCCACTTCGTTTATCTGGCCATGTACGAGGTCCACAGAGTTGTTAACCGTTAAAAATATTTAAAGTTAACGAAGTTTCCAGCACTTCTTCATATGTTTAACAAAGATAGCGCTAGATAGAAGTTTAAATTTTTATAACATTATTTTTTCTCTTTAAAATCCATAACTATTAATCATTAAATAAAATCTTTAAAAACAACCCAGCCTTCTATAGTTTACTATTTTCTTTTCATTTTATAAGATGAGCATTTAAGCAGAGTCTTTTTGTTGGTTGGCAGTTAATAATCTTCTACAATTCAAGGGTCCATCCTTTCATATAATATACGTAATATACATACGCTTACGCTAAATTAAATTTATCGCATACATTGATCAGCAATTAATTTGGAATCATTTGTTTGTAAATACAAAAGATAAATTGTTTGAACATTGTAAGATCTTAATATATACTGTGATATACATAGAACATACCTATTTCTATCAGGGCGAGTACCGTGGCTAGGCACAACGTGATTCCGACGCGGGCCATGGCTTTATAATCTGTTGCAAATAACGAGTGGACTCTAACGGCGGGTGATCGCGACTGAGACGACGACTAACTCGCCGACAACGCGTCGCCGACAGACGAATTTACACCGAATGTAGGGTGGATATACATTTCGCAATTGAGGACACATTATGTACTGTAACAGAATACTTCTATGTACATAGCCTTATTGGAGGTTAATTGTAAAATACCTGTCATATAAAAATGGTAGGGCATCAAAACATTTACAAGGTTAAAGTATTTTGTCCCTAATACATTTTATATTAAATTAAATCCTTTATTAATAATCATACTAACACTTAATCGAGTAATCATTTCGAAAAAGTGAGAAACTCTTACTCTATAAGACCAATATCAACTAAACATAGCTGAATAAAAAAACAGCATGCAGCAGCAAACATGAAAAAACAGCAGCTAAATCTGTCAATTTGTTTAAGAGCTACAATGACATAGACATACAAACATCGAAGTCACACTTCTAAAGTCCCTTTAACGGGCCGGAAGTAAAAATATGTAGGTTTATAATAAAGACATTGTTTAGTATTATAATTTTTTTTTTCTAAATCATGGCTACATTATGTTTACTCCCACTGGTTGTAATAAATACTAGCATAGAAAAGTTTTAATATTTTGTGTGTAGAAGATCACTTTATTCATATTTATTTTATTGTATCTCGATAGTTTGGTAGTTTTACCGACTAATATAAAAAGTATAGAGAACAAAATTAAAGACGTTACAAGAATAACTCATCTTTTTGTGATTGACCCATTTAATGTCTTCCGTAACCACTGTAATGTAAACAAAATATAATTAGACATTTTTCATTTTACCTAGATAAAGCAAATAGGTACAAACTTAATATATCACGAATTTATTATAAGTGAGAAAGTTCTTCAGGTTGTGTATGTGGAAACTGTACTCTCTATGTTTTTTGTTCTTTCTAGCAAAAGCATCCGAATGTATTTTTATAAAACTTTTTCGTATGTTGCTTAAAGTTTAGAATAAGAGATATATTTTCCGATTTCGAGGTAAACGTTCGATCAAGGCATAAATTTATATGAACAAAAAAATCAAAGTTGCCTTTTTTAATTTCTAATTGACTGTAGCTGTTAGCTCTAATGGCTTTGACAGAGTCACCGGAATCATAACTGTCGTTGAAGGTTTGTTATCATATCAATTCTTTTCACACTTGATAGATGCTCCCCTACGCATAATTCTGAAGTCCAGGCGGATGACGATTCAATTATAAACTGTAACCTAATTTATATGAATATTTGAGCTAAAAATATAAAAAAAAAACATGCATTGGCCTTAATCATATTTATTGTGACAAAAATTACACAGTTCCCGCATCTATTGCTTTAGAATTGTTATCATAATTTCGTAACAGATTTCCTCAATCATTAATTGTATTCACAAAATCGCAATCATCCACATATACGGGGTTTGCTATAGGCGATGTACTACCAATTCTGGATAACAAACCTTGAATATTAGTTTGTGCATGTGTGGCGCGTGGTGCAATAAGTGATGACTTATAAGACAACATGTGATTTGAAGCGGTAAATAAATTAATAAATCTTTTAAATGCGACTATTTTTTTTCCAATACTACAGTTAATTTTTATTTTTTATGACTAAATAATCTAGACGTTTCGATGACTTAATACAGCAACCGTGATCACATTGTAAAACACGTACTATCCAACAAACTTAGTTTCATTTAAATGAGTACAAGTATATTTTAGACATCATTACATAATAAATCTTTTTAATTGGTTAGACGAAACTTAGTTGTTAAAATTGTCCAATCTTTGAAAATTATTCAGAAGTTTTATTTCACATGTTTCTATAAGATTTTCTTCTTATATTAATATATGTTTAAAAATAAATATGACCAGCGGTAGGTTCGAGGTTCTTATTAATAAAAAGACAATATAAGGTGTATGATTCAAATTTGAATATTTTAAGCACTAATTTCAGGAAATTACATATGCACAGTATTTTATTCATTATTTAAATAAAAATGGACACTTTTTTAATGAATGTGTAGCGGTTTCCTATATTTTTTCATGCAAAATTATTTGACTATCTATAGGTGTAGTATATTTTATAAATAATAAAATAGTTTATAAGCACCCAGTATTTTTAAGCACCCAGTATTTTTAACTTATTGAAAACGCCTAATTCAATATTTAGTTTAGCATTAAATGTGACATATAGCAACATCCCAATTCCATTCGTATCTTCAAAATATAGAAAATATATTCCATACATATCGGAAGTAGTGTAATTTATGAACCTAAAACCTTTAGCTATGATTTGCATAACTTAACATTTCCTTTACGAGGCTATTTTTCACTTTTACCATCAATCTTAATCGAGCATTACGTAATTATAATCCTTAATTACAAGGTAATAAAATCTGATATTTTTACAAAACTTATGTACCGTCATGTTTGTTTTGAGTTAAACATGAAATGTAATTTAATCTTACTGTAACAAGGAAATTATTACAAAGCTTATTTGTATCCTTATTCTAAGTTTGCATGAATGTACTAAATACGGAATGTTAACAGTTTTTCATTCATAAATCTTCGCACATTATTATTAACGTAGCTTACTTAATGAGAAACGGGAAAGGGAATAATTTTAAATACACGTGTAATAATTAGGTTTAAAAAACAACAGAATTCGGTACACTTTCGTTTAAATATTTAAATATTTTTTATTGATCCCGATTGTGGTGAAACAAAAAAGAAAAATTAGACAAGATTAACAGTAAGATAACGCATTCGAAACAACTTGCAAATTGTTAAACTACCAATTAACGATAACTTTTGTCGGAATTAATGTTTAAAACTCTGATCTTTTCAATGAAGAGCAAGAGCAACTTAATATGTGAAATCTAAAAATGTAATACTTTTTCCCTAGGTGGTAGAGCCTAGCTGTAGTCAAGTTACTACATCTTGAACATGGGCTGACTCGACCGGGGAAGTACCACTCTTTCACAGAAGATCGCGTGAAGTAGTCAATAATGACTGCGTTTGGCTGTCCGATGAGTGAGAGAGCCGGTTGTCCTTTCCCTGTTCCCAACCTTTCCTCGTATTTCCTCATCCCACCCCTTCCTTTTCCTCCACAAGTAAGGTTGGCAACGCATTCGCAATACCATGTTGCGGATGTCCATGGACGACGGTCACTACTGACCATCAAGTGGGCCGTCTGCTCGTTTGCCACATTTTACATAAAAAAATATATAAAAAAAACTATAAAACTGGTCTTTATAAATAGTGCCAAATATCAAACAATTTATATTATTACTAAAATATCAATGAATGAATACGAAGCAAAGTATTTCTTTGATTTATAAAAGATTCTTAACTGTCTACCAAATTCTTTAATATCAATAACATCATATCAAGAACTATAGGTAGCTTTTAAAAACATTATGTTTATGCATCGTAGTAGTTTATTAGGTGCTCAAGAATTATGTAAAATTTACTAGCATTAAAACAGCTAAATTTGGTTCACATTTTTGTAATATCGCAAATGAGTTCGCCTTATATTATGTTTTGGCTCGGACTTTAATAGCTTGGCTTTACATACAATACATTGTTTTGGCCTAGTTTCGATTAAATATTAAAAGGGACGCCATCTTGGTTTAATTTTACAATAACCAAACCAACCCCTTATAAGAATATATACTTTAGGATATTGAAATAAAAAATATATATTTTTTTAAATATTCTGAAATGTATAACAAAATTTTGGTCATTTTTTAAAAACTCTTAACGTATCCATTGTTATTTGAAAATTACACTGGCAAGCGTGAAGCATTTAATGAAGTAATCACACTCAAAAAATTAATACTATAATTTTGTAAGGGAGTTGAAAGTTTTATACTGCTGCGAGATATTTAAAATGAAAACAGTACCTAAGAACTACAACAAGCAAACTCAATCTCAATCTTTTTGAAAGATCCTTTTTGGCTAGAGACACGCATACAAACAGACATTGAATTTTTACCGATAACACCGCTTTTTCCTGTTAATCATTCTGGGTTAATAAACGGTTTATGATCGCAAATAAATATGACATTACATAACTTTATAATTATAATTATCAATATCGTATTTTTCTTAATTATACTCGTAATAGTGTTTGGCTAAAAATAAACTCACCACGAAGTGCCGTACGTAAAAAGAATGAAATTAGGCCAACGGAGTCTATTAATTCAAAATCTTTTACTGCCTTCCCGATAAGTCATTGCTAGAAAACACGAATTTTGGTACATAAAACTTCTATTTTAGCGGTAATATCTATATTTCAAGACGTGAGACTTTTATTGGTATTGGAATAAAAGAAAAGCCCGAAAAGATTTTCTTGACCCCATCCTACAAATTATTACCTACAACCTCATTTCTTTACAAATGTAACTATAGAACATTACTTTAAATTACGTAATAATTTAATATTTCTGATTCATTAATACTGTCGTACCCGCTTACAGAGCGACTTAGAAGTTATGATAGAATACTCTCGAAGATAAAGGTCAAGACGTACCAGTATTATAGTATTTGTTTATCGTACGAAATATTTGTCACACGATCACAGGTCGCATTAATTATATTATTTGAAATTCGACAACCGTCATCCAGGGCAGGCTTTTGACAGTCAACCATATATCTAATGAAATAAAACCACACTTATTTTTATGTTCAGTTTATAAAATAAACAAATAAGTGAGAATATGTATTGTTCGCGTTAAATTAGGGCAGTATTATGACTTAGATGTTTAATTTTCCACAACTCGTATCAGAATCCCCCAGTCTAACATTTGTATCCTATTTATAATATTCAAAGGTAACATATTTACATGAAGGTTAGTCACAATATCCTACAGAGGGCGCTAGTTAACTATCATAAGAATCCCCAATTAATATCAGAATATAAATAACGTTAAATTTAATAATATAAAGTGC